GGGGTTACATGGTTGAGTGGAGAGAGTACACCTGGGCAGCCAGGTGGGCGGCTCAGCAGCGAGGCAGAGGGCTAAGCCGCCGTCTGGTTGAGGCCAGGGAGGGGTTTAAGGAGATAGGTCTTGCCTCCCCACCTCTGCTCCTCTTGGAACAAAAGACTTTTTGGATGTAAATAGAAAAACTCCTATCTGAGTTTTCCCCCTGAAGTTATCAGACAGGGGGAAGCCTGACTTGGCTTTGCCCCGCCTTAGAGGAGCCTTAGAGGAAGGATGGTTATGGGTAGAAGGGGCGGGGTGCGTTTAAAGTGCAGATACTGGGCTGCACCTGGAAGGTTATCAGGCAGAAGGGGCGGGGACCCCCACCTGGCAGGTTACCCGGTAGAAGGGGCAGGGCAGGGTGCAGATGTTATTGGGATGACTTTGAGATGCAGATGATGGACCCAAATGTCTCCTTAGGCCTTTGTCACACACACATAAGCTCATACCTGACTTCCTACCTAACGTGTGTGTGTGTGTGTGTGTGTGTGTGTGTGTGTGTGTGGCTTCCAGGTGAAGGAGTGCCACGCGGGGTATCCCTGGCAGCGCAGGTCTGCAGAGGGCTGGGAGGCTGCTCCATGTGTGTGTGCTTGTGTGCGCGTGTGTTCTTGTGTGTGCGTGTGTGCATGTGTGTGGCTTCTACGTGTACACGCGGGGAGGAGAAGCCACCACAGACCTGCTGCTCCTTGTACCGTCCCCAGGGCCCAGCACTCCAGCAGGAACTCTGAGCTGTTCCGGAGCCCCAGTCCCACCCTGGCCCCTCTGTCCTCAGCCTCCCCGGGGAGGTCCACGTCTGAAGAGGATCCTGGGTGGCTGGCGACAACAGTCACCTCTCTCCCCGCCCTGGCACGGGAGGGCTGCTGCAGGCTCCACGGCCCCCAGCTCCTGGGCCTCCGGCCGGTCCCTGCACCCTCAGTGGCTCTGAGCTCTGCGTGCCCGAGTTAGAGGACACCGCAGTTAGACCGGGGCCTCCCTCAGCCAAGGATGACCTCATCCCCAAACCCTCGGGCAGTGACACCTGTGCGGACTGTCCGGATAAAGGCACAGTCACAGGAAACCGGGTTAGCACTGCTGCATGCTTTGTTATTCATTGATTCAAATTTTAGAATGTGTTTATTTATTTGAAAGACACAGAGAGAAAGGCAGAGCCCCTGCCTGCTGAGTCACCCCCAGATGCCCACAGCTGCCTGAGCTGGGCAAAGCCAGCAGCAAAGAACCCAGCCCAGGCCCCGCAGCTGGGTGGCAGGAGCCCAGCGCCTGGAGCCAGCCCGTTAGCAGGCAGCTGGAGCTGTGATCTGGAGCTGGGACTTGAACCCAGGCCCTGTGATGCGGGATGCAGGCACCCCAAGTGCTGTCTTAACCCCTAGGCCACGTGCTGCCCCTACATATTTAAGCCACGGCACTGCCGTCACCACAGCCTACCGGCCGAGGGGCTCTACTCAGACAGCAGAGGCCCAGCCCTGCTTCTGAGACAGGAGCTGTCTGTGCACTGGGCGCAGCTCCCTGGGGTGGGCTGGCCCTCCCGCCGCTGCCTGTCTGCTCAGTGTGTTGGGTGCTGGGCTTCACGGGATTGCACAGCGCTGGCCGACCTATTGTGACCCACCAGGTAACTGCCAGGACTCACTGTTAATAACCTGTTGGCTAAGCCTCTGCCTGCGGCACCAGCATCCCACACGGGTGCCCGTTCAAGTCTCAGCTGCTCCACTTTGGATCCAGCTCCCTGCTAATGCGCCTGGGAGAGCAGTGGAAGATGCCCAAGTCCTTGGTCCCCTCCCACCCACGTGGGAGACCCAGAAGAAGCTCCTGGCTCCTGGCTTCGGGTTGGCCCAGCTCCGGCCATTGTGGTCATTTGGGGAGTGAACCAGTGGATGGAAGATCTGTCTCTCTCTCTCTAAACTCTGCCTCTCAAATAAATAAGTAAATAAAGTAATAATAATCTGCTGATTGTGGGGAAAAAACTCTCAAGCCGTTTGTTATAACATTCTTCGCCCTCTGTAACAAAGATAGCCACTTTATCATTTCTTGCTTATAGAAAGTGCCCCTTCTCAGTCCAGGGGCTGTATGGGCTGAGCAGCCCAGTACAGAATCTTAGGAAACGTGTTCCAGTGGGAGAGACACAGTGCAGGGCATCTGGGGGAGCGTGTGGAATGTTCCAGAAGCACTAGGAGGCCAACATATCCAGAGCAGAGCGGATTTGAGAGGCCAGGTGGGGGCACCGTGAGGCCACAGCTGCTGTTCTGGTTGTGATGGGAGGGCAGCGAGGTTCTGAGCACGGAGGGAACCTTCTGCGTGACATTCTAGAACATTCCCTGTGGCTCCTGGGGGAGGAGAGGCAGTGGAGGGGCAGTGTGCAAACGAGGAAGCCAGTGGGTGGCTTGGCAGTGGGCGTGATGGGTGGAGTGGCAGGCACGTGCAGTCGCCGTGGAAGTGACCACGGGCAGATGGGCCCCAGGGGCTCCAGGGCTCCCCCACACCGAGGAAGGGCAGACAGAGCTGCTGCTGGCTGAGCCGGGGCCAGTGGCAGTATGGGGGCATCAATGGATCGTTCACTTCTGGGTGGGTCACACTGGAGGTGCCCAGAGAACATCCAGCGAGGTCCTGAGTTTGAGTCCAGGGCTCGGGGGAGGAGCTGAGGGCTGCTGGCTGGTGAGGTGACCGGGAGGGCGCAGAGATGAGGGGAGTACAGCCCCGTGCACCCCGATGTAGCACGGTCAGCGCCTGGGAAGGAGCAGAGGGTGAGAGGAAACCCTGCCGCAGGCTGTGCCAGGAGCCGACAGAGCGTCCCGGGGCTGGGGTCAGCTGGCTCACAGGTGGGGTGAGAACGGACACACAGATCTGGTGCAGGGAGGTGGGGGCCTAGATGTGAGCTGTCAGTGTGGGGGGCGAAGTGGGCTTGGGGCTCTGTGGTCTGGGAGCTGTGGCAGGAGTCAGAGACGCAAACTCAGGGCCATGTGCTGAGGACTGGTTTTCAGAAGGTCTCTCTCTGTCGCTCTCAGTCTCTGTCTCTGTCTCTCTGTCTCTATCTCTGTCTCTGTCTCTCTCTCTCCCACCCCACTTCGCTCCACCATGAATGGCAAAGCAGGAGGGGCCTGGCCAGGAGGAGCTGGGCCTGGACTTGGGCTCCCTGCCTCCAGCACTGAGGCTGTTAGTCCTCAGCTCCCAGTCTCAGGCACACAGGGGCTAAGGCTGAGGGTTTGAGACAGAAGGGGGAAGAGCTGCCGGCGGGCAGGGCGTCAGTCTGGCTGCCAGGAGGGGGTCTGGGTGGGCGAGGGGACAGCCTTCTGCTTGCTCCGCCAGGGGCCAGTGCTGGCAGGAGCAGGGCGGGCTGCACTGAGGCCTTCCTGTGGGCTCTGGGTGGGGCAGAGGGGCAGAGTGGGTGCACCTGGCCCTCAGTGGCTTTCATCGCCTCTGCGGATGCTTAGGGTCTCAGGGGAACTGGGGGCAGGGGGTGCTGAGGCGGAGGAGGGAGCCACCAGCACTGGGGTCCCTTCCCTCTGCAGACAAGCTTTGCGCCCCTCCCCCGAGCCCCAGCTGGAGGCCACGGCCCTTCTGGTAGTCAGGGGCCCAGGCTTCCTGGCGCTGGCCCGGCACCCATGAGCTTCTGCACACTCAACCACCCTCAGGGCTTTCTGGCTGCTACCTGCAGGTGGCAAGGGAGGCGGGCTCTGACTGTGGCCTGGTGACACTCAAGCTGGGGATGGGCCCTGGCTGGAGCGGTCTCCATGGGGGACCGACTCATATGGGCACAGGAACAATGGGGCCACAGAAAGGCGGCAGCGCTGACCAGAGGCAGGCGTCCCCAGAGAACGCTCCTGCTCCCACGGCCCCTCTGATCTGGCTGGGGCGTCCCCAGGTGTTCACGTGTTGGGAGTGCCGTCCTCAGGGTGGCGGTGCCTTCAAGAGGTGGGGCCCAATGGGAGGGCCCTGGGTCACAAATGCAAACCACAGGTGGCTGGGACCCCGGTTAGTTCTGGCAAGAGAGGCTGTAATGACCGAGCGAGCCTGCCCGCACGTGTGTCCCACCCCGACACCAACTGCCAAGGTGTGATGTGGGGGTGGGGGCCCACCTGAGCCGGTGCCGTGCTGTTTGGACTTCAGCCTCAGAAGTGAGCTAAGCAAACCTGTCTCTGCAGATGGCCCAGCCTCGGGTACTGTGTGACAGCAACAGAAAACAGCCTAGGACACCCTCCCGGGCTGGGGCAGGCACGCCGTCCCAGGACCATGGACGGGCCTGGCCTGTGTGACAGTCCAGCAGCTCTGTCCTGGGGGGTCAGTGGGGGACCAGACCTCAGAATCCTGACAGCAGGACCCCTGTGGTGCACGCCTCTGCTCTCTGGGCCCCTGCCCTGGACGGCCAAGAGACACAAGGGTCAGAGACGTGGGGCTGGGGCTGGGTCGGCGGTGGGGGGCACCAAGTGGGGCAGGCTGCGGTGGTGGCCAGGGTGCCACAGGTGACATGAACTGGGATGCAGCCCCCCTCCCAGGCTCCAGGACTTCAGCTGGGGAGACCACAGCCTCCTGACTTGCAACAGGGAAGAAGAAGACAGGACACACGGGGACAAGGGCTGAGGAGCACGTGGCCGGCCTCGGGGTGTGGGGGTCCTCACTGCCTGGGCAAGCCCCTCTCCTCCCCGTCAGAGGCCTGGGCGACTACGGGAGCCGTGGCCCCTGCACGGTGAGGGGGTCCAGGGCTGAATCCTGGTATCTGTGTTGGTTCAGCCCGCAGCCACCCCGTGACCTCAAGTCCTTGCATTGCTGCCAGTGCCTTGCTCCCCGATTTCCTGGGTGACCCGGGGCGTGTCTGCAGGAGGCAGTGTCGGCCCCGGGACGGTGGACAGAGGGCACCGTCGCTGGCCACTCCCCAGGCTCTCAGGAAACAAGCTCACGCTGTTTTCCGGGAGGCCCACAGCCACGTGGCAGGCAGGTGTCGTGGACTCGCCTCCCGGGGCCCCAGCCCCCCGCCCTACCTGCAGCGAGGCAGACACGGCCTCCAGGAACTGCTCCGGGTGGTCCTTCTCAGGCTGAAACTTGTCCAGCTGCTCGACGGCCAGCTCCACGCACTTCCTGTAGTAGGCCATCTCCCGGGGCACGGCCCTGAAAACACAGGTCACGCTCTGCACCACCCCCGGTGGCCGGCCTCATTGGCCCCTCCAAGTCCACTGGGTCACCAGGAGCCTCAGGTGGTGGGCGCTGGACGCCTGGAGCTGGAGACCCGAGGGCCACTTCCTGAACTGAACCCTCCCGAGCCGGGCCTCCTGCCCCCTGCCCTGTGGCCTGAGACTCGCGGCCAGGCTGCAGACGGCAGCAACCTCTGGGAAGGGCCCAGGCCAGACAGCACAGGCCTCTCGTGAGCCAGACTCTGGGCGTCCCTCAGGCCAGCCCGGGTGGTGACTGCTCAGCAGCAATGCCTGGGGGTGGCAGGTCCCGGGTGGGGGTGACCTAACACAGAACGTAGGGGAAAGGAGCAGCCTATGGCCCCCAGGTTCAAAACCTCCAAACCTCCATTTATTTATTTTAAAGTTTATTTATCATTTATTTGAAAGGTAGAATGACAGGGTGGCAGAGACGGGGGTGGGGACAGGGAGGGAGAGGGAGACAGGCAGGAAGAGAGAGAGAGAGAATCTCCCATCTGCTGGTTCATTCCCCAGATGGTTGCCACACCCCGAGCTGGGCCGGGCCAGAGCCAGGAGCCTGGCGCTCCATCTTGGTTTCCCACGTGGGTGGCAGGGACGTGAATTATGAGCCCTCATCTGTTACTTCCCAGGCACGTCAGCAGGGAGCTGCACTGGAAGCACGGAGCAGCCAGGACTCGAATCACGCACTCTGATATGGGACGAGGGCGTCCCAAGCACGGCTTACACCCGGTGCCCACCACGAAGACGAGGGAGGCCGGGGCCCGAGGGGCTGCGCGGTGGGAGTCTGGCTGCCCAGAGCCTGTGTCTGGGAGCCCTGGGAGGGTCAGCTTGGGGAGGCAGGGGTCTGGCTGCAGTGACAACAGGTGGCCTCAGCAGCACAGGTTCTCACGTGTCCAGGGGCAGTTCTGGCTCCCGGCGGGCCGCTTCCCGCTCCACAAACTCTGGCCTCCCTGGAGCCAGCGAATGCTAGGCTGCTGGTGCTCTGGGCACAGCAGGGGCCCCTCGGTCCCTCGCCCAAGGGGCAGGGCGGCTCCCAGACACAGACCTGGCAGGCTTGGCCGGGCTGAGCAAACCATGGTCTGAGGCTGGCCAACCCTGCCCCTTCCCCCCACCCTCACTCCCCGCCGTATTTAAAGAGGAGGGTGGCCAGGTGTTACCAGACATGAAGCAGAATGGAAGACTCTAGCAAAGGACTAGGAGGAGACACACCAGGCACAGAGCAGGCACAGAGCAGGGGAACGCCCGGAAACCAGCAGCCGGCCCTCCGGGGGAGACTGGCGTCCAGGAAACAAGGGACTGGGTTGGGGGCGGGGAGAAGAGCTGCCGGGAGGCCCACCGTGAGCGTGGCTGACAGCCCAAACGGAGGGCGTGGGGCGGCAAGGGTGGGCACTCCCCCAGGGAACGGGCAAGACCAGGTCACAGGAGACTTCCAAGACGCCCAAAGTCCAGCGCCATTCCATGAGGACAGCGGCGACACACAAAGCCAGACCATGCGCCAGAACCAGAGGACTGGGTTTCCAGGCGGACGGGCCCCCTGCGTGGGCAGCCCATGAGCGGAGCGCGACGTTCCTGAGTGGACGTGCCCTGTGGGCCTTGCGCTTGGACACCTGGCAGCCACTGGAGACCCACCAGCCCAGAAGGCCCCGCCCTGTCTTTCACAGGTGAGCCCGGAAAGGCGTGGATGCGGTCTGGGGAGCTGCGGCTGCACTCAAGCAAGGATCTCGTGCAGGACTTCCTGGACGGTGACAGACGCACAGCATGGCGGGCAGAGGCTCCAGGGGGTCTGGACCAGAGGGAGCCTGCCCCTGGCGTGACCCCTGGGTGGGTTTCACTGAATGGTGGGGAAGGAGGCCGCCTGCCCCTGCTGCCGACATCGCCCTGGGCCCGTGTCTTCACCCCTCACTGGCTGGGCCTCTGGGCCCCTGCACCACTGACAACCAAGGCCTGGTCTGGGGCTGTTCCCTTAGGGGTGGCTTCGGCACCCAGCTCGGGCTCTGCACAGACACAGGCCAGCAGGGAGCTTTTTAAGGAGCCCTAGAGGAGCCTCTTGGAATTTGGAAAAGTGGGCTGCAATGGGCTTAAAGCCCTAGTTCAGTGACAGGCCCTGGGGACCAACTCCCAGGAAACCCAGTGAGTGGGGTCCAAGCGGACGGCGTGAGCTGCCTGGTCGAACCATCAGGACGGCCAGGGCCACGTGGTGAGGCCCAGGGGAGAGGCGGCCTTGGGCCTGGCCCTGGCAGGCACCTGCCCCACCCCCAGGCAGTCTGGCTTCCTTGCGAGGGCCTGGGTGACGCCAGAGTGAGCATTCACACAGCTCACAGATGCTGAGGCAGGGCTCTGCCGCCGGGACGGAGAGCTCCCTGTGAGGCTGGCCGTGCCCGCCCTGCCCCCGCCTACCTTCCTGAGCGCCTCCCACCTCCCCAGACCCCCTCACAGGAAACCCCTGCTCCTTGGAAGGCTGGGCAGTGGACCAGGCCATTCCCTTGCCTGCCTGGGCCCCGTTTCTCTTGCTGGCCCACTCTCCAGACACCACACATTCAGAGCAGGGCCTCCGCCCGTGACAGGCCTTGCACTCAGTGTGGCAGGGGCGGGGGTGGGAGCGGGGGTGGGGAGCTGGCCTGGTGACACCAGGGTCCACGGAGCTGTGCCCGGCCAGGAGGGCAATGCTGTCTTGCTAGGGCAGGAAGCACTTTTCTGGGGCATTGCTCTGTGGGTGAGCTCAGGGCTTGGCGATTCTGGTCCCTGTGTTTCGGGGTCACCACATGGAAGCGCCTTTTAAAGCCACAGCATAACTGGGGCCTTGGAGGGCTGGGTGGGGGGCAGTCAGGGCAGACATGGGTGGCTGAACAGCATTGCTGGCTGTGCATGGAGTGTTGGCTCACGCGCTGAGGGCTTGCCTAGTTTTAGCCTTGGGAGTGACAGGGCCATCGATAAAACAGGAAGTAAAGGGACAGCCCCTTGTCCCCATCCTGTGGCTCGGGCGGGGGCACCTGCAGGAGGGGTGTGGCCTCGGGCCAGGCCGGGTGTGGGGCTGTGCAGTCCTCCGGGCTTGAGTGTGGGTCAGCTGGGCTACTGGAGACAAGTGTCCTAGCTTCTCTGGGCCCCCGGCTCTGCTGGCTGGGGAGGGAACACGGGTGGGCAGGCCCAGAGTGGACGTCGTTCCCATGGGGTTGAGGACAGCTAGGGGTGGGGAGTCAAGGGCAGTGACAGGTTGTTCCAGGGGCTTTGATGCTGCTGCGATGGGGACCTGGTGCCGGGGTCCAGGACCCAGAGCCCCTCCCTGCCAGCTTCCTGCCAGGCCTGCCCAGGCCTGACTCCTGGTGTCCTTCTCAGGGGGTTCCTGCCCTAGCCCCGCCTCTGTCCTGTTGGCCCCAACCCAGCGTGGGTGATCTCCCTGTCCCCTCAGGCCCTGATGTCAGGGCCACACAGGGCCACTGTGCTGGCACGGTTCTGGGACTCTTTGTTCCAGTCTAGCTCACTCCTAAACGGAAAACAACTCCAGCCACAGCAGGATGTCCCAGGCCCAAGGCAGCCCAGGGCCTCCAGCCCAGCCTGGGAGCCAGCAGCAATGATGCAGGGCAGCCTGGGGCCATGGAAGGAACCTGAGACACCCACTTCCCATCCCAAGGCTTGCAGCGTGCAAAGGCGGAAGGAAAAGACATTGGGAAGGTCAGTCACAAAGGCTGGGCAGACCTGTCCTGGTGACCCTGCTCAGTCTGGCCACGCCTCCTGGCCCCTCCCACCAGTACCAGAATGCAGCAGGTGCTCCTGAGAGACTGGGCTGTTGGGGGGAGGGGCAGGGAGACCCCAGGCTGTCAGCCTGAGCTGCTGTGGGTGCTGGGTGAGGTTTGGTGGGAAGAGGCTCCAGGGCTCCTCCACGCATCGTGAACAAACCCCCCAGGTTCTCAGCTGCTCAGAGACCCGGGGTCCTCTCAGTCTGTCCTAACCCCTTCACAGCCTGCGGTCACCAGTCCTCGGGGCCCTCTTCCTCCTCTCTCTCCCCCTGCTCTGCAGCTCAGGGCACTGGGCCTCTTGCTGGCCTCGAATCCTCCCTCCTCTACTTGTTGAGCTCCTGGGCATCCCTCAACACCCCACTCAAACATCGCCACCTGTGTAGACCCCCCCAGTTCCTCCCTTCTCTGTGCCTCCTCTGGTGTCACCCAAACTTCATTAAGCCACCGTGAGTGCCTTGGGCAGGGCTCTGCCCCAGCGCTGGAGCTGGGATCTGCCAGCACCTCGGCAACAGCTGCAGGCCAGCGCTCTGGCTCAGACGCGCACCCGTCGTCGGGTCCCTGGCTGCTCTGCTTCCGGTCCAGCTCCTGGCTAATGTGCCTGGGAGAAGCAGTGCCCTGGTGCCTGGACCCCGCGCCCCGATGGCGCCCTGGCTCCTGGCTTCGGCCTGGCCCAGCCTGACTGCTGTGGCCATTTGAGGAGTGAACCAACAGAAGGAGACCTCTTTCTCTCTACCTCTGCCTCTGTCTCTCTGCCTTTCAAGTAAACAAAATAAATCTTTAAAAAAAAACCTGTGGGCCGGGCACTCAGCCTGGCTGTTGAGACTCCTGCCCCCAACAGTGCAGCCCCTGGGTCCGCGTCCTGGCATGGTCGCTCCAGACTCCAGTTCCCTGCTAACACGCACCCTGGGAGGCAGCAGGCGGCGGCCCAAGCCCTTGGGTCCCTGCGGCCCAGGGAGGCCAGTGCTGGGCTCTGGGCACCTGGCTTTGACTGGCCCAGCCCTGGCTGTTGCAGGCATCTGGACGGTGAGCCAGTGGATGGAAGAGCTCTGTCTCTGTGCCTTTCAAGTAAACTGACGATAAACAGAACTTCGAAAAAAGGAAACGCTCGTGGCATGAAAAGCCTGGTGTGAAACTGTGAAAGGATCACCTAGCGCCCTTCACTATGCTTTTAATCAGAAGCAGTTAGGCTTCAAAAATAAGGTCTGCATGTCTGCACAGAGATCACCCAGCTTCTCTATAAGGTGTGCACGGAGATCACCCAGCTTCTCTATAAGGTGCACACGGGATCACCCAGCTTCTCTATAAGGTCTGCACGGAGGTCACCCAGCTTCTCTATAAGGTGTGCACAGAGATCACCCAGCTTCTCTATAAGGTGCACACGGGATCACCCAGCTTCTCTATAAGGTCCGCACGGAGGTCACCCCAGCTTCTCTATAAGGTGCACACGGGATCACCCCAGCTTCTCTATAAGGTGTGCACGGAGGTCGCCCAACTTCTCTATAAGGTGTGCACGGAGGTCGCCCAGCTTCTCCATACGATGTTTATGGAGATCACCCCAGTGTCTCTATAAGGTGCACACGGGATCACCCCAGCTCCTCTATAAGGTGTGCATGGAGGTCGCCCAGCTTCTCTATAAGGTGCACACGGGATCACCCCAGCTTCTCTATAAGGTGTGCATGGAGGTCGCCCAGCTTCTATGTAAGGTGTGCACGGAGATCACCCCAGCTTCTCTATAAGGTGTGCACAGAGGTCACCCAGCTTCTCTATTAGGTGTGCACGGAGATCACCCCAGCTTCTCTATAAGGTGTGCATGGAGATCACCCAGCTTCTCTATAAGGTCCGCACGGAGATCACCCAGCTTCTCTATAAGGTGTGCATGGAGGTCACCCAGCTTCTCTATAAGGTGTGCACGGAGATCACCCAGCTTCTCTATAAGGTGCACACGGGATCACCCCAGCTTCTCTATAAGGTGTGCACGGAGGTCGCCCAGCTTCTCTATAAGGTGTGCACGGAGGTTGCCCAGCTTCTCTATAAGGTGCACACGGGATCACCCAGCTTCTCTATAAGGTCTGCATGGAGATCACCCAGCTTCTCTGTAAGGTGTGCACGGGATCACCCCAGCTTCTCTATAAGGTGTGCACAGAGGTCACCCAGCTTCTCTATAAGGTCCGCACGGAGATCACCCAGCTTCTCTATAAGGTGTGCATGGAGGTCACCCAGCTTCTCTATAAGGTGTGCACGGAGATCACCCAGCTTCTCTATAAGGTGCACACGGGATCACCCCAGCTTCTCTATAAGGTGTGCACGGAGGTCGCCCAGCTTCTCTATAAGGTGTGCACGGAGGTTGCCCAGCTTCTCTATAAGGTGCACACGGGATCACCCAGCTTCTCTATAAGGTCTGCATGGAGATCACCCAGCTTCTCTGTAAGGTGTGCACGGGATCACCCCAGCTTCTCTATAAGGTGTGCACAGAGGTCACCCAGCTTCTCTATAAGGTCTGCATGGAGATCACCCAGCTTCTCTGTAAGGTGTGCACGGGATCACCCCAGCTTCTCTATAAGGTGCACACGGGATCACCCAGCTTCTCTATAAGGTCTGCATGGAGATCACCCAGCTTCTCTGTAAGGTGTGCACGGGATCACCCCAGCTTCTCTATAAGGTGTGCACGGAGGTCGCCCAGCTTCTCTTTCCACGGCTGTTTCAGAACGTCACAAGTCTCCGTGCTGCACTATTCAGCTTTGCTGCCTCATCTAACTGGAAGACAGCAGGTGTCCCGATGACCCTTTATGAGGAGGTGAGAGGACAGCTTCCGCCTGGGCTGGGTTTGGGGTGGGGCTCAGTCGCCCTGTCCCCAGGGGAGACTTCCTAGCTGTGTGAGGGCCTGAGGCTCACAGGAGCCCCGTGACAAGACCCCTCATCAACATGAAAGGGAAACAGGGCTGGCACGGGGAAAGAAGAGCTGAGGCTAACTCAGCTCCGATAGAGACAAGCAGTCACGCTGCAGGGGGTGCCCTGGGAGGGGCCTCCTGCCCCAGTGTCCGGAACCTGCTCGGGACACGGCGCTGCCCGGCAGGCCATGGGACTCCTGGGAGCGGGACCGTCGGTGTGTGCCTGGCGGGAGCTGTTCTGAGCCGGGGAGGTTTCCCTGACCCCTCCTCCAGTCCTAGAGCCTGGAACCTTCTGAGGAAGGCAGGAGCCGAGGAGCCCTCTGGTGCCGCAGGTCATGGAGAGGCAAGAGAAGCGTGCCAAGCTCTGCCCTCCGGCGACCTAGACAGGATGAACCGGAAGGAGCAGATGAGCCAGGTTCCACATGGGGCTTGCAGGCAGGCCTAAGGGTTCATGTCCACCTGCACACGTGGCACAGGGCAGGTGCTCCAGGAGGGTGGACATGAGGAACAGACACGTTTGCATGCTGAATCCCCACGGAGGTTAGCCGAGGGATGCACAGTAGTCCCGCCTTTGAGTTCGTCCGATTCTGATGCCCGCTTGCAGTGCCTGTTTGCTGCTTCCTTCACTCACTCATCTGCTCATGCCCAGCGTGGCTTCAACGGTGAAACGTCGTCAGCGTGGGAAGTGGGCTTAACTCCCGACTCCCGAGCTTACTGATGCTTTGCCCCCGCTGGTCGGAATTGGCACTCCACTACCCGGGACTCCACGGTAAAAGTGGGCTGGACCAAAGCTTGTCTCTTCTCAGCAAATCTTGTAGAGGGGCCCCAGAGCATGTGAGCCAGCCTGCTTCTCCCTCCTGGGACCAGCCTGCCCACTGCCTTGCAATCTGGATCCAGCCGTTAGATGAGACAGAGACAAAGACAGAGAGGGAGAGACAGGGAGAAGGAGAGACAGAAAGGGAGAAGGAGGGAGAGGGAGAGGGAGAGGGAGAGGGAGAGGGAGACGGGGTAGGGAGACAGAGAAGGAGAAGGAGAGACGGGGGGGGGGGGGACGGGGGGGGAGACAGAGAGGGAGAAGGAGGGGGGAGAGGGAGAGGGACAGACAGGGGGAGGGAGAGACAGAGAGGGAGAGGGAGAGGGAGATGGGGTGGGGAGACAGAGAGGGAGAAGGAGAGACAGAGAGAGAGAGAGAGGGAGAGGCAGAGACAGAGAGAGGGAGAGACAGACGGGGGAGACAGAGAGGGAGAAAGAGAGACAGAGAGCGACAGAGAGAGAATGGGAGAAAGAGCGAGAGAGTGAGAGGGAGAGACAGAGAGAGTGAGAGTGAGAGAGGGAGAGACAGAGAGAGAGAGCAAGAGAAGGAGGGAGAGGGAGAGACAGAGAGAGAGAGAGGAAGAAAGAGAGCGAGAGCGAGAGAGAGAGAGGGAGAGGGAGAGAGATTTTACATCTTCTGGTTCACTCCCCAAATGGCTACAATGGATAGGGCTGGACCAGATAGAAGCCAGGAGCCAGGAGCTTCTTCCGGGTGTCCCACGTGGGTGCAGGGGCCCAGAAACTTGGGCCATCTTCTGCTGCTTTTCCAGGCCACAGCAGAGAGCTGGATGGGAAGTGGAGCAGCCAGGGTAGGAATGGGCGCCCATGTGGGATGCTGGCATTGTAGGCGGTGGCTCTAACTGCTGTGCCATAACGCCAGCCAGTGTGGGGATGCTTGGTTACACGGGGCTGGTCCTAACCCTAACTGCCACAGCCACTTCCCTGAGTGAGCCTGTGTCCTGAGCACAACTTCAAACGGTGACTTAGACGGGAGCCTCAGCACACACAGCTGCCCCACGCCTGGGAGGCAAGGACGCGTCGGCCGAATGTCTACTCAGATCTTACGGGCCAGCCCACGGAGAGGGCAAGAGAGCAAGCCAGGCTCTATCTGTGGGTTCACTCCCCAAATGCCTGCAACCGACGGAGGGGGCTCAGCTGGGCCAAAGTCAAGAGTCCACTCTGGGTCTCCCATGTGGGTGCCAAGAACCCAATCGCTCGAGGTGGGGTAGGAGCCAGAGCTGGGAGGCAAACCCAGGTACTCTGACCCTCACTGGACGCAGGTGTCTTAACTGCTTGCCCCAGTACCCGACTCAAGGAGGGGCACACTTTACCCAGAGATACTGAGAGTGGCTTGCAGCTGGATTTGAAGGGATCTGTTAAGGTGTTCAGAGAGTGGAGAAGACATAGACGGGTCTGGAGGCCCCGGGTTCGGGCAGGGACTGCAAGGTTTGGGGTGGTTGTTTGCCAAACCACGTAACTGGAGGAAACCTCCCAGGGCAGGGGTGGATGGAGCAGCTTCCAAGGACCTTGTCCTGGGCCCCCAGGGTCAGGCTGTCAAGGAGACTGAGAAGGAGCAGGTGCGGGGGCAGGGTGGGGGGAGGGGAGGAAGAGGAGCGGCAGGTGCAATGCGCTCCAGGCACGTGAGACCGTGTGTCTCCAGGTCAGCTGGGTGACCGGCTCACGTTCAAGGGAGAGGGAGAGTTCAGCACTGACCACCGGACTTGGCAGCATCGAGGTCGAGAATGGCTTTGATGGTGGTCTTCAGAGGAGGGGCTGGGTGCAGGTTCGGGGAAGAACAGGTTGGGAGGAACAGCTCTGGCGGGTGCAGGGAAACTGCGTGTGAGTGAGCTGGGGGGGCGGGGGGGGGGGGGTGGGCTCCGCCTGCTGCAGCCCAAGCGCCCCAGCCCCATTCAAGCCTCAGGTTCAGGGGAAGACGCGTGTTTGTTTCTGGCGCTCTGCTTGACACGTAACAGGTACTCAGATTTTGGTGAATGTCTTCATAGATTCAACTTAGGGCACCCCTTGGGGAAAGCAGTGACGACGGCATATATATATATATATATATATGTATGTATATATATAGTGTGTGTGTGTGTATAAGCGCTGTTTATTGTGCCGATTCAAATATTAACTGTACTCAAGGCGGGGGGAAAAAAAACAAGCAAGCAAGACGGAACCCGCTTGCAGGTGACAGAAAGTCGCCGAATGGAAGAGAGAGGGGCTGGCGCGCCTGGCCCCTGTTCCTCGTCCCGCACCCGCACCCGCAGCCGCACCCGCAGCCGCACGCTCACCTGTCGGCCCGCTCCCGGCCGCCGGGCAGCCCCTCGCGCCTCCGCCTGCCGCCGCAGAGGTTCCCCGGGTCCGCGGGAGCCGGGCGCCCCGGCGATCGCTGGCTGCCGCCGACTTTTCTCGACTTTCTCGGGGTGGCCCAAGACCTCAGCAGCCGCCGGACTGGGGCGCGTCGTTGGGGCGTCGTCACCTAGCAACGGCGGGCGCCCCGCCCCCGCGGGGGACTACAAGCCCCGCCACGCGCCGCGCGCAGGCCCCGCCCCCCGCGCCGCGCGCCGGGCGTGGAGTCCGGGCCCGGCCTGCGGGGAGCGCGCCTCGGGCGGGGCGCGGCGCCGCGCGGGGATTGGGCGGCCTCGGCCCGGCGGCCCCGCCCGCGGCTCGCGGCGGGCCGGGGGCTCGCGGCGCCTCGGCGCATGTGCGGCGCGGGGCAGCCGTGACCGGCGGAGGCGCGGGGTGTCCGCGGGCCGCGAGGACCGCGCGCCCCCGTGCCCGCGTCGGCCCGTGCGCGCTGTGCGCCCGCCCGCCCGCAGGTCTGCGGGTCTGCCCGGCGCCGCTGGCCGAGCATCCTCTGCACCGCGCACCTGCCCCACGCACCTGCCCGCCGGCCGCTGGCAGCCCCGCGCTCTGCTGGCGCTCAGCTGCCCTCGGGCCGCGCGGGGCCCCGGCCTGGCTCCGGCCCTGCTTCCGCGTTCGCCCCGCGCCGCGGCCCGGCCCGGGCGCAGCGCTGCGGAGGGCGAGGGCCGGCCGGCGCCCGGCCGGGGCAGGCGCGGCGATGATGAACAGGTTCCGAAAGTGGCTGTACAAACCCAAGGTGAGCGGCCCCCGCCCCGGGCCGGACGCCCCCGCGCCCCGCGCTCTGCTCCACCCGCAGGGAGTGGTGACCTCCTGCCGGTGGCCAGCGCCGTCCCCCCGGCTCCCCTCCCCTCTGCTCCTCGCCCTGCCCGCGAACGGCCCAAACCCCGCTTCCCGAGCGTGGGTCCCGGACGGACCCCTTGCCCTCACTCTGCGGCCTGGGTGCGTTGCCCTCCCCCGCGCCTGCGGCCGGAGCGGGGCCCCCTCCTAGCCGGGTGTCGAATAGACCTGGGCTCGCACCTGGGGGTCTCCGGCCCGCGGGCCGAAGCAGACCCCTCACTACTTCTCCTGGGTCGCCCTCCCCGCACCGGGGCTGGCCCTCTCCCCATCCCCCGCCTGGTCCTGGGCCGGGAAGCGCCCTCCCAGCCTCCCTCCGCACTCTGATCAGACCCGCTCCCCACTTCCCCGGTTCCAGGGGAGCCCCCATTTTTCGGTCCCAGGTCCCGGGCCTCCCGCACCTCCGCCCAGCTCGCGTCCCCACCCTTCTCCCCTCTGCCCGGGCCCCGCAGCCGCGCCCCTCCCAGCACCGCGGGGTCGGGGTCCGGGCCGCGGCGGCTGCGCCAGTCGCACTGCGGGCGTTGCGTCCCCGCCGCCCGCGTGGGGCTTGGCATCCGCCGCGGCCCGAGGGGGTCGGCGTGCGGTCCTGGGAGCGCCCTCCGCATCCAGGCGCGGCACGCTGGGGGACGGCGCGGGGTCTTGCGGGGCACGGCTCGGGTGGAGTCACTGCGGCGACCGCGGGCGGGATCGCGGCCAGCCTCCGCGTCGCCGCCGGGCCCGCAGCCTGCCCCCTCCCCCCGCAGCTAGCCACTTTTGTCGGTCGGGTCCCAGCCCCCTGTTCCCCGTGACGGAGCTCTCAGGGCAGGGGCTCCCTAGAATCCGTGCCTCTCTGGTGTGCCCGGGAGAAGCAGCAGGTGGGCTCGGGCGACCCCAGGGGCCCGGAGCTCTCGCGCCTTCGTGGCCTTTGAAGTTTGGGTCTGAGTTTGTGTGGGTTAAGGGCGCGGTGCGTGGGGCCTTGGCCCGCGCCAGGGGCGCGCGGGTGCCGACCTCCTCGTCGGGGGTCGGGGGTGGCTCCCGTGTGCGCGGGCGCCGGGTGCGGCTCGTGGCCTCGCCCGCGCCTGGCCACGCCTGCAGCGTGCAGCGCTGGCGCAGTCCCTCGGAGGAGAGCCTCTGAGTTCTGCGGCCTCTGCACCGCGCATCTGTGCAGGCGGTGGCTTTGCGTTCCAGTGACTTTTTCTCGCCCGTTTAGGGAAAAAACAGTCCTGAGAAGGTCGTCCGGGGGTGGGCAGCGGCGTGGTTAGTGTTTCTCGCAGGGGCAGGTGAGGAGGTACAGCGTGGTGGCTCTGAAACCCGGGGAGGGAGGCCTTGGCCGCAGCGGGAGGGAACGGGAGCCGCTGACCGCCCGGTCTCTGCAGCCTGGCCGCTTAGCGGGGCTCTGCTGCGTCCAGTTTAGGAAAAGACTTTAAAAGTGCAGAGTGACCCCGCCTGGTCGCTGCTGCCCAGAATTAAGAATCCTGCCCCTTGTCTTCCGGCTGCTGTCCCTGCGAGCCCCGGGGGTGGAAGTCGGTGAAATGACCAGTCCTAGTGAGCCGGCACCAAGCTGTGTGCTGGGGGGACAGGCCTCCCAGACCTCACTGGCTTTGCTGCTGTCCCTTATTCCCTTATCTGCCTGCTGGCCTGCTGTCTGCTGTTTGTCCCCACCCCCTGCCCGTGGCTCTCGCTGGGAGCCGGCAGCCTGAACCTGGGCTGTCCCCAGCCCGAGCTCTCTCCTTGGAGTTAAGCATTTTGACTGTTAAAGGCGTCGAGTACTGTGGTACCTCACCCAGCAGCTTTTCATCCTCCAAACCCAAGCTCGGAATTCTGCCTCGGATCAGGGATCGGATTTCATGCCTCTTTTTCCAGTCTAACAGCACACATTTTGGCACGGGTGAGCAGGAAGCCAGGCCCCGGAAGGTTCTGGGCCTGGGAGAGTTGAGGCGGTGGATGCTGGCGTGGGAGGAGCACGCGTGTGCGGGACACTGCTGCCCTCGCTTAGGGTTTGTTTTTCATTTATGCATTTAGATGTACAGTTCAAACTGCATTTTTGGTTTAACCCTGTTCCGGCTGAAAACTGGACGCTGAGCTCCTTGTGCACTGCGGCGCGGTGGAAAACATTCTGAACTAAAAATTACTTATTGTTCCATTAGTTCTAAAAGCAATTGGAGGGCGGCGCTGTGGCACAGTGGGGGAAAGCCACCACGTGTAGTGCTGACATCCCATATGGGCGCCGGTTCCAGTCCTGACTGCTCCACTTCCCATCAGCTCCCTGCTGTGGCCTGGGAGAGCAGTGGAAGATGCCCAAGTGCTTGGGCCCTGCACCCGCGTGGGAGACCTGGAAGAAGCTCCTGGCTTTGGCCTGGCTCAGTCATTGTGACCATCTGGGGAGTGAAGCAGCCGATCAAAGAGCTCTCTCTAACTCTGCCTTTCAAATAAATAAAATAAATCTTTTTTTAAGAAAGCAATTGAAAATGCTTAAAATATCCTCAGATGACATAAATTTTGATACCTGAATCATTAATAGCGACCTGAGTTAAAAATACCCGATGAATAATACAATAGTTTAACATTAAAATGACACGTGCACATTATATTCCCATTCGTTTTATAGAAACCCATCTCTTAAACACCAGTGTGACTTTCCGTGATGAGATGCCCGTGTGTCCCGTGGCTCTGCGGGCTGCGTGGACGGGGCAGTGTGCAGGGGAGGCGTCACCTGTGTCCTCGCCGCAGCTGCTGGCTCCCGCTTCCGCTGCTCGAGACACAGTGGCTCTTGGAGAAGGCGGGGTGTTGTGGCGCCACTGGTGACGTCACCGAAACCAGGGTACCTGTGCTGGTTCTGACTGCACGGATCCGACTGGTGGAGAAAACTTGGTCTCCAGGAAGGGCGCAGACGTCCTGGCGTGGGGGAGGGGGCCCGGGATGCAGACCCGGCCCCGCTGGGGTTTCTCAGCCATCATCACAGAGCACGGTAAGAGCCCCCGTGATGTGTGACACTGGGGACGTCCCCCTGCTGGCTGGTCCCCGTGCTCAGCCGTGCGCCCCACAAAGCTCTCTCCACCTGTCCCCGGGGCCCCTGTTTGCAGGGAATGCTCCTGTCTGCTCCACGTTTATCTGGGAACTTTGTGTGATTCCAGGCTCCGATCAGAGATGAGGTGACCTTTGCCAAGAGCACCCCAGAGACTTGCCTGGGGGGCGCTTTGCTTTTATGTTTTATTTATTCATTTATTTATTTGAAAGGCAGAGAGAAAGAGTGTGTGTGTGTTCCATCTGCTGGTTCACTCCCCAGATGTCCACAACAGCCAGGGCCGAGGGCAGAGTCCTGGAATTCAATGTAAGTCTCCCACCCAGGAGGCAGGGACTCATCACCACTGCCTCCCGGGGTTGCATCCGTAGGAAGCAGGAATCAGAGCGGAGCTGCGACTGGACCCAGGGTCTCTGACACGGGACGTGGGTGTCCTGAGTACCAACCCAGCTGCTGCACCAAGCGCCTTCCCCATGTGTGTGCTTTTTTTTAAATCTTTATTTATTTGAAAGATGCTTACAACAGCCAGGGCTGGGCCCAGTCAAAGCAGGAGACCCACCCTCCACCTGGGTCTCCTGTGTGGCTGGGGGGTGACAGAGACTCGAGTGCTGAGCCGTCCCGGCTGCCTCCTGGTCACGTTTGCAGGAGGCTGGGTTGGAAGCAGAGCTGGGACTCAATGCTGGCACTTGGATGTGGGGGGTGGGTGCTCCAAGTGGCAGCTTAACTCGCTGCACGGCAACCCCTGTCCCCATGGATGAATTTAAGGGTTTGGCAAAGCCGGCCAGCCTGGGTGCACACCCGGCGGCGTGTTTGTGGGACCAGGCAGCTGGGCAGCGCGAAGCTTGGGCTTTGTGCACGTTGTGTGTTGAGTTTACTGTTTCAGCCCGCGGGGCGTTGATCGGTGCTCAGGTTCCTTGTGGGTTTCCCAGGGCCCTGGGCCGGCCCTCTGTGCCTTGACCACCTTGCTGATGGGGTGGCACCTTGAAGTGAGTGGCCAACAGGGCAGGTCCCAGGGGGAAGGGGCAGAGGCCAGGGTTTGTGTCTGGATGGCCCCCAGTGCGTATCAACGAGGTGCAGTCTGGTCTTCCCTGTAAGGCTCCACCTTGATGCATAAGAATTAGGGGTGACATGGAGCCAGCAGCCCCTGAGGCCCGGAGCGCCATGGGCAGGGTCTTCCATGACCTGGGCCCTCCCCGCTGCGGGATCCGGACGGGTGCGTGGCCTGCAAGAGCCTTCATTTCCCTGCTCTGTGTCGTATGGGCAGTGGGCTGCTGTCCTGCAGTCCGTTAGCTCCCTGCGCCAGGCGTCCACCCTGTCCTGGCTTGGGATCTGAGCGGTAGCTTCTAGCCAGGCTGCTAACTGATCGGCTTACATCCCGTAAATTCTGGGTGCCCAGCTGTGGCCAGGCGGCGCGTGGATGCTGGGAAGGGCATGTTTGTCTCTGAGATGAGCTACCGGAAGGCCATTGCTCACCGGCCAGGCCAGGGCCAGGTCGCTCTCCCGGCAGGCGCCTGGCCCCGAGCCAGGCTCAGAAAGCCCTGGGAGGGATGCTGGGCAGTGCTGAGTCAGGCTGGCTCGGCCGGGCCCGCACACCACGCTGTTGCCCAGGGTGCCCCGACTGCAGAAGGCACTGGGTCCCCCCTTCCCCGCCCCCCCCCCAGAGCGCCTTCCTTGGGACAGCCTGGTACTCGTCTGTCTCTTAAGGTGGTTTCACAGGCAGTGGCTGTGCACGGGCAGCTGGGTCTTGCTATGGTCTCTGTGTGGTCCGGGAAAGCCGGTGGCATTGTGGGCAAGGGTGAGGCCGCGACGGCCACCACTGGGGCTCCACGTTCGGCAGGCAGAGCGCGGTGATTACCTGAAATGTGGGACATGGTTTCTGTTACGTGGGCGAGCAGGGGCGAGGGCGTCCAGGGCGTCGTGGAGTTGATGTTTGGACTCAGTGGCCCCCGGCAGGAGGGTGGTGTGGGGGCAGGCACCGGGGCCTGGCACTGCTCCACCTCCAAGCAGGAGGCCTGGGAGGCAGTTTCGTTCGCCCCTAAGAGGAGAGATGGGGTGGTTTAAGGACGCGCTAGTGCGTGGTTGGAGCCGCCGAGAATTCCCAGAACACTAGCTTTGCTTGCGAATGTGCGAAGCTGCACTTCTGAGAGCCACTGAGTGGCTGCCGCGGCCTGGTCTCGCCTGGGCTCATGGTGTGCCGGTGCCCCTGCACGGCAAGCAACCGCGCGCTGACTGCAGTGCGAAGGAACTGAGCACTTCTGGAAAGCGTGGGTTTTAAGTATTGCTTTTTTTTTTTTTCTACAGGCAGAGTGGACAGGGAGAGAGAGACAGAGAGAAAGGTCTTCCTTTGCCGTTGGTTCACCCTCCAATGGCCGCCGCGTCCAGTGTGCTGCGGCCGGCGCACCGCGCTGATCCGAAGGCAGGAGCCAGGAGCCAGGTGCTTCTCCTGGTCTCCCATGGGGTGCAGGGCCCAAGCACCTGGGCCATCCTCCACTGCACTCCCGGGCCACAGCAGAGAGCTGGCCTGGAAGAGGGGCAACCGGGACAGAACCCGGCGCCCCGACCGGGACTAGAACCCGGTGTGCCGGCGCTGCTAGGTGGAGGATTAGCCTAGTGAGCCGCGGCGCCGGCCAGTATTGCATTTTTTTAATTATCTGAAGTTTTGCTGCCCTCCGTAGCTTATATGTCTAAATAGCATGGGAGGGGCTGACGCTGTGGTGTAGTGGGTAAAGCCGCCGCCTGCAGTGCTGGCATCCCATATGGACGCTGGTTTGAGTCCTGGCTGCTCCACTTCCGATCCAGCTCTCTGCTGTGGCCTGGGAAAGCAGCAGAAGATGGCACAAGTCCTTGGAGTCCTGCATCCGAGTGGGAGACCCAGAAGAAGCTCCTGGCTCCTGGCTTCAGATCGGCACAGCTCCTGCTGTTGCAGCCTCTTGGGGAGTGAACCAGCGGATGGAAGACTCTCTCTCTCTCTCTCTCTCTCTCTCTCTCTCTCTCTCTCTGCCTCTCTGCCTCTCCTTCTCTCTGCATAACTCTGACTTTCAAATAAATAAATAAATCTTTAAAAAATAAATAACTAGCGTGGGGGCCACAGATGGGAGCCTCCCTAGTCCTGTGCCTCAGTTTCCCTGGCTGTCAGTGGGGGAGCAGCCCTGCCTGTGGAATTGCTGGGAGCAAAGGCTCAGTCACAGCTGGCCCCTGTCCGTCCTAGTGAGGGGAAAGCTGTGGGTTTGGGGCCGGCGCTGTGGCGCAGTGGATTAACTCCCTGGCCTGAAGTGCTGGCATCCCTATGGGCGCTGGTTCGCGTCCTGGCTGCTCCAGTTCTGATCCAGCTCTCTGCTGTGGCCTGGGAAAGCAGTGGAAGATGGCCCAAGTGCTTGGGTCCCTGCACCCGCATGGGAGACCCGGAAGAAGCTCCTGGCTCCTGGCTTCGGACTGGTGCAGGTCCGGCCGTTGCGGCCAATTGAAGAGTGAACCAGCGGATGAAAGACACCCCCCCCCCCCACCTGCCTCTCCTCTCTCTGTGTAACTCTGACTTTCAAATAAATAAATAAATTTTAAAAAACGAAGCTGTGGATTTATTACAGGCCCACCGCTGAGGTGGTGAGGGCTTAGTGTCCATACTCCATCGCGTCCCAGAGGTCAGCTATGGCCTCCACTCCTCCTGCTGAGTAATTCTGAGGGTGAAACGTCCGCTGCCCCTCCCCCTTCTCTGCTGGTGGCCTGGGAAGAAGAGCCTGCCTCAGTTCACCTCGGCACCCTCATGGGCCCGGTTACAGATAACCACAGTAATGAAAGATAAGGAGGGCCTCCTGTGCTCTCCTGGGACAAAGGTGTGGCTGTGCCCCCCGCTGGGCGCCCACCTCCCCATGTGGCTGGGAGGCCTGGGCAGCAGGCCTGGGCCCCCCGCCTACGCAGCCGTCCCCTGTGGCCTGCATCCCCTGTTTGTGGCTGGATGCTCGGGATCCAGTGGAGGACTCAAGGCCAGGCGTGGCAGGTGTGAGGGGCAGGGGGCTGGGCACCATCACCACCTCCCGAGGATGTGCGTCCGCGGAGGGTGCAGCCGGGTGCTCCAACCACGCCTGAACCGGTAGGCCAAATGCCGACTCTCGACTCGCCTTAAAAAGGGGCGGGCCAGCCTGGGCTGCGCTCGTCTCTTATCTCCTGGGCTCTGATTTGACAGCTGACAGAGTTCCCTTGGTTAAGGCATCGAGGTTTCTGGGTTGTCTTTTAATGTCTAGGCCATCCTATACACTCTGTTTTCCAAATGAGGTCTCAGAGAGGGCCAGGTTGCTGGGGCTGTCACAGCCAGGAAGAGGCAGAGCTGGGATTTGAACTCAGTTCTGCTGGACCCCAGAGCTGGAATCTGCGGGCAGCACTGCCCCGAGCCGTGTGTGTGTCAGGCGACATCGCGTTCTCTGCAGGAAGGCGCTAGCCGTTGCCGGTTTCTACGTAAGTCCCGTGTGGTGAAACACTTTCCCACTTTCTGAGTTGATTGCAGAGAAACCTAGATATTGATGGGTAATTCAAGTATTTGAAGGAAGAAGACAAAAATGAATGGATTTTTAAAAACTGAATAGATTAAGGAGAAGTTAGAATAGAACATTTCATATTATGATAATTTATGTAGAGTAGTGGGTAAGATGAATGGAATACATTTTTTCCTTACAGTAAGTGTTTGGAAGCTCTCTATTTTCCATTGTTTTCCTGCTGGATGGAGGCGGTGGGGGGCTGTGGGGGCACTTCTGGTGGGGCTGCGTTCACGGTCCTCAGAGCTTTGCACGGCTGGATCTTTGTCTGCTGTGTGTGGGGTTTGTTTCCAGCTGGGTTCCCCCTGCCGGTCCCCCACCGGCCCAGACTCCGGCTTCCCTGGGAGATGCAGCCAGCACCCCCAGTTGGTGATGGTGTCCTTGGCACAGGCATTGTTTTCGTCGTATTTCAGTTTTAAAGAATATTTCCAGTTTTTAAGAAAGATTTATTTTATTTCTTTGAAATGCAGAGTTACAGAGAGAGAGAGGTCTTCCATCTGCTGGTTCACTCCCCAAATGGCCACAATGGCCAGAGCTGGGCTGATCTGAAGCCAGGAGCCAGGAGCTTCTTCCTGGTCTCCCGCATTGCAGGGGCCCAAGGACTTGGGCCGTCTTCTGCTGCTTTCCCAGGTGCATTAGCAGGGAGCTGGATCGGAAGTGCAGCAGCCAGGACTCAAACCAGTGCCCATATGGGATGCCGGCACTGCAGGCGGCAGCTTTACCCGCTACACCACGGTTCCGGCCCCAGCGTCTCCAATTATTTTTATGGCAAGTCGAGAGTTGGCAGCTGGCCTTCTGGTTGAGGCGTGGGCTGGAGCACCTGGGTTTGACACCTGGCTCCAGCACCTCACCGCACCTTCCTGCTCACTCATCTTCGGGAGCCGGCGATGGTGGCTCAAGTAACGGGCCCAGCCACCGCGTGGGGGCCTGGACCAAGTCCTCACTTCCTGGCGCTGGCCTGGCCCAGCCCCGGCTGCTGTGAGCATCTGTGGAGTCCTCAGCCCACGGGAGCTCTGCGTGTTCATAATCACCGAAAGGTGGGAGCCGCCCCAGCGCCCGGCAAGGGCTGGCTGGCAAACAAGGTGGACGTGGTCTTTCACGCCCCGGAGACACCAGGAGAAACCCGTGACATGAGGCCGCGTGCCATGCGGTTCCACTCGTGTGGATGTCCAGGCCCCTTAAGCAGGCTGGGGACTGCCGGGGGCTCAGTGGGGCTGGCTGCTTACGGGGATGGATGGGGTTTCCTTCAGGAGTGGTAAAGTTCTAGATGTGGGAGGCAGCGGTGGAACCGCGCGGGGAATGCACGGCCGACTGCGTGCTGCGCGGGTTTCGCAGAGGAACTACAGGGGCTGTCACTTTGTTTCTGAGGTTATTCCGTAAGGGACAAGATGCTCAGCCCAGGGGCTTGAGGCCGCCCTGCCCCCCTTGCCAGCCCCCTCACTGGAGCTCCCCAGAAGGGGCTCAGGCCTCTGCTCGGCCTCCCCGCCCGCGGGGTTCCCAGAAGATGGCAGTTGGCAGGCGGCAGCCCCCTGGGAGCTTTGTGGCCCCAGGCCAGGCTCCGAAGGGCAGACTGCGATCAGTGAGAGGCAGAGTGTCCCAAAGGGGTGGACGTGAACGGGCGGCGGGGAAGGCCTGGTGGCCTGCAGGGCGGCAGGCGAGCCACTTCCGGAGTTCGGCTGGGACGGCGCACAGGCACTGAGGGTCTGCCGCTGGGGGTCCTTGCAGGCCTGGTGCAGGGTCAGCTCAGCCCTGGAACCAGGACCTGCGGGGGCCTCCCGTGGGAGCTGGGCAGCAGCTGACTGAGTAAGGGGTGGGTGGTGGGGGACTAAGACCCCACGTGTGTGGGGAGCAACTCGGACTAGACTAAGTTACTGGAATTAAGACTTATTCTATGCATCTGCTCTCCCACAATATGGCGCTGGGAGAGAAGAAAACAGCTTCTACACAGCTGCCTCCAGTTCAGCCAATAAACTGTAGGACCTGCTCCTGATTGGAGGAGAGCAGCGTACTCGGCGTGTGGGTAGCAGAGTTGGGATTGGTGGAAGAGGACTGTAAAGGAGGAGAGAGACAACATGCACCAGGAACATCTAAGGGGAACATCTATCTGAAGGAACACCTGTGCAGCCCCCGAGAGAGCCGGCTGGCGGTGTGCCGCTCCCCTGCGGAAGTGGGGAAAGTGGCAGGGGGAACCGCCCTTCCACGGAGGTGGAAGGGTCGGTAGCCAACCCGGGAAGAACCAGCAGCAAACCCGGGGAGGGCCGAGCAGACAAAAGAACAGTGCGGGGTCCTGTGCCGTTCCTCCACGAAGAGGGGGAGCGACACACATGGAGCGTAGGAGGGTTCACACCAGACCGGAATGCTTTGAACTGTAGCCTGCTGTCTCCTTCCCCCCTGCCCAGTGGCTCTGTTCCTGGGGCGGGGCTTCAGCACGGTGGGATGGACTGGCAAGGGGGCTTCAGTGGTCGTGCCTGGGCCGTTGTCTGCCATCTCTGTCCTCTGGGAATCTGACGGGAGATTTGGTTGGTGAGGGCCTGGGGACAGCGGAGACCCACGGTTGGGTGCATCAGGCCCAGCGTGGAGGTCACACAGTGTCTCCTCCATTTTAGGGGCTCTGGGGTCACACAGGGATGGGGAGAAAGGTGTATCGGGGGCTCGTGGTGGTGGCTGTGGGGTGCAGCCCCGGGAGGTAAGGGGTCTTCCAGAGGTGGGAAGGGTCAGGGAGCGTCGGGGGTGGGGTGGGGGGCCTGCGGGACAGCAGAGAGAAACAGGAGACTGCTTGCAGCTTGGCGAGCGTTTTCCTGATTGGCAGGTCAGGTTCCATAAGCGCAAGTCCCACACGGGATGGACGGTGGTAGACGCAGGGTGAGTCCCAGTGGACCTGAGGCCGCTGCGTCGCAGGGCCCCAGGGAAGAGGAGGCCAGGACTGCCCGGCTGCTGCGCCTGCTGCAGCCCCAGCCCGGGACGGCCAGGCGATCGTTCCAGCCAGTTCCAAGTAAGCTCTGCTGAGCAGAGGGACGTGGAAGGCGGTTTTTGATTCAGGCAGGCAAAAAAGGAACCGCCCCCAAACCCCTGCCGGAGAAAATGTACTGCAAATGGAAAATCAGAGTCGGAAGGGAGCAGTGGGAGGCAAGAAGCCAGGGCGGAGGCGGGAGGCGTGGGCGTCAAAGCTGCAGTGGCCGGGCGTGGCATCCGGGCCCAGGGCTCCCCTTGCCGCTTGAGCGGCCCCGGAAAGAAGCGAACGGGAATCTGGACCTCGGGCCTGGGAGGTCCGGGGGTCCACGGCTCGGTGGTCGGCGTTGAGGCTCAGGGTGGCAGTGGACTTCTGACCGTGAGTTCAGTGTGTGAATTAGCACGGAGCAAATGCTGGGGTAATCCATACAGAGTGGATAACTTCCAAACCAGGAGAGCGCGAAAAGAGGAATAAGCTGACATCCAGCCAGTCACCGCAGGAGGGGAGGGGGGGGCAGCAGAGAAAGCGGCCGGGTGAAGGGACGGGCATCTGGCCGAGTTGCAGTGCCTGGGTTCAGTGCCCAGCCCCGGCTTCCTGCCAGCGCAGACGTGCCGCCCACATGGGCGTCCTGGATTGATGTCTCGGTGCGCAGCCTCACCCCAGCCTCGTCCCAGTGCGTGGGAGCTCTGTCCGTCTCTGCCTTTCGAGTAAGTAAGTGGGCAGAGAACCACACAGAGCCAAAAAGTGAAGCTGCAGAAGTAAGTGCGGCTCCACCGTGGTCACAGTAGGTGGGAACGGAGCGACCGCACTGGTCAAAGACAGGCCTGATTCACTGAAGTTCAGCTGTGCCCAGCACTGGTGGTTAGGAGGCTGGACCGCCTGGTTCCAGTTCTTGCTAATGCAGACCCTGGGCGGCAGCAGGCGGTGCTCAAGTCCCTCCTTCCCCAACCTGGGTTGTGTGCTTGGCTCCTGGCTTCAGTCCTTGCTTGGCCCCAGCCACCACTGATTTGGAGAGTGAACTGGTGAAAGAGGGGCGGGGCGTCTCTTTGTTTGTCCATCTCAAATTTCAAAACAAGCGGAAAACCCCCACCCAGCTGCCTGCCATTGGCCGGAATGTCTGTAAGGCAGCTTCTCAGTGACAGGACCAGGAAAGACCCCCAAAGCGAGGCCTCCAGGCTTTGTGGGTGGTAGGTAAGAGGTGGGGCAAGGCTACCGAGGGGGAGGCCTGCCAGGCAGACTCATGCCTCCTGCAGGTCGCTGGTTTTCTGGGGGCCTGCAGACCTTTCTGGAAGGAACAGAAGGGGGGGTGCTGGTTTGCCACCTGGCTCAGCGGAGGCCTGGGAGCTGGGCTGGACCTCCAGGGAGGGCCTCTCCACCTCTGCGGAGCCAGTGGCAGTGGGGGCTGCGCCTGCAGGGCCCTGCCTGGGCTGGGGCAGGTGGGGGCCGAGCCCTGCAGGTCTGCAGAGCAGGTCATCTCGGGCTCCCACCAGTGCCTCTTGCTGGTGTTGAGTCCTCTGCTTCCTGTGTCAGGCTGGGAGCTCCTTGAGGAAGCTGGTGGGTGCTTAAGAGATGTGTCAGATCAGCTGTTGGACAGTACATAAATTAGGCGTGAGTGTTTTTAAGATTTATTTTTTATTTATATGTAGGCAGAGTTAGGGGGCGTTCGAGCTTCCATCTGCTGGTTCATGCCTCAAATCGATGCGATGGCCGGGACTGGGTCAGGCTGAAGCCAGGAGCCAGGAGCTTCTTCCAGGTCTCCCACGTGGGTGTAGGGGCCCAAGCACTTGGGCCATCTTCCACTGCTTTCCCAGGCCACATCAGAGAGCTGGATTGGTAGAGGAACAGCCGGGACGCGAACCGGCGCCCATGTGGGATGCCGGGACTGAAAGCGGTTTTAGCCACTGTGCCACAGCGCCGGCCCCAGGTGGGTTTTTAAAAATCACTTTGATGCGCATATTTGTAGCCAGGCACACAGAGCTTCTGTGAGCCATAGAGAGAGGGTCCTGTGCAGATCCTGGGTGCTGGACAGGACCTTGAGTGTGGAGGACGTCCTGGCCTGGGACGCTTTCACTCTGGGTGTCTGTGCTCCTGGTGATTAGACGTTGGTCTCTGCTTTGAGGTGAAGGTGAAGGTGACGGCGACGGCAGCGGCCACGTTTCCCGAGACTGGGGGGGGGGTGTGCTGGCCGAATCGGGCTCCTCTTCACAGGACTCCCTCCTGGCCCTGGACGTGAACCTCTGAGGAGCCTGAGATTGCTGATAGAAGCCTGCCCACCAGTGGCCACCAGGAGCCATGTGGACGGCGCAAGCCCAGGACTGGGCTCGGGGAGCTGGGGCCAGCTGCGGTGTTCGCAGGTGCCAGCAGGTGTACCGTGGGCGGTACTGCGTGTGCATGCTCCACTACAGGGAGTCCATGGCCCCAGAGAGCCTGTGCCCAAGCCCTCGCCGTTTTGGACTCAGGGGTGGGCTGGCTGGGGGCTCTGGCAGTACCTGGAGGGTCTCTCCTGGCACCTCCCGGGTGGCACAGGCTGTGTGTGAGGATTAGCACTCAAAGCTGGATGTGGCTGGTCGTCTCTGACGCCCCTGGTGCCACACAGTTTGAGCGTTGTCCTTGGGCTGTTTTTGGAGAAGGAGCTTTATGATGGAGCTTCTCAGGGGACACCTGGTGGCCCTGCCATGCAGATGACAAGAACCCAGCTCCTCGTGACCCGAGTGACTGAAGTCTGGGCTGGTGTGGTCTGTGTCCAGCCGGCGTTGGGTTGGGATGACGGCCCGAGCTCTGCTCCAAGTAAGTGACCTTTGCCATCTATTCTGTGCCTTTTCCTTCCTGGCAGAGATATGGGGAGAGACAGAGGGCTGGTTCGCCCCCTAAAAGGCCTCAGCGGCTGAAGCTGGGCAGATGCAAAGCCAGGAGCCAGGAGCGTCTTTCTGGGTCTCCCATGTGGGTGGGCCATCTTCTTCTGCTTTCCAGGCGCACCAGCAGGGGGCTGGACTGGAAGTGGAGCAGCTGGGGCTGGAACCTGTGCCCATATGGGATGCGGGCACTGCAGGTGGCTTAGCCCACCACAGCACAGTGCCAGGCCTGGCAGCATGAGGACAGACAGCTCTTTACCTTGACTGCAGTGGCTCTGTGAACCCCCGCGTGATAACTCACCCGAGGCTGACACACACAGGTGCCCGTGAGTACAGGGAGACCAGGGGTGCAGACTGTGATGCCAGCCGCACTCTGCACCTTCTACCACCGAGGGAGACGAGGTCAGAGGCACACAGGGCCCAGCTATCATTTTTACAACTCGATGTGCGTGTATCGTCACCCATGCCTTACCCACTTACTTGGAAAACACCAAGCCTCACAATAGGCTGCATTTAAAGTGGACAGTGTGGTAAGTGTGCACGTGTGGAACCGCCATGGGCGCTGTTGTAGGGCAGTGGGTTAAGCCACCAGCTGGGACACCACACCTCATATTAGAGCTCTGGCTCCAGTCTCGACTTCTTCACTTCCAGTCCACAAGTGCTGGGGCCCCCACCACCCACTTGGAAAGCCCAGGTGTAGCGCCTGGCTCCTGGCTTTGGCCTGGTCCGGCCCTGGCTGCTGTGGGCATTTGGGGAGTGAACCATAGATGAGAGATGTGTCCGTCTGTCTGTCTGTCTCTCTGTTGTTCTGCCTTTCAAGGAGATGGAAAAAAATAGACGTTAGAAAGAAGAAGCCGTGAGATGCGATGGGGGACACAGTCACCACCCCCAGCTGTGTCCCGGCCCCTTCCCTCCTCCTGCCCTCGCTGCAGACGGAAGCCGATCTGCTCGCCGCCAGGGCTGCTCGCCGAGGCACACGGCCAAGGAGAACCGCGGGAACGCCAGAGGCCTGGCTTCCTCGGCTTGGACGGAAGTTTCGGGAAAGTCTGTGAGCATCAGGACAGGGTTAAGGAGGGTGCCAGGGACGGGAGCTGCTCCCACGGCAGAAGCCCTGCCTCCAACACCCGCTTAGGAAAGGCCGAGGAGTGACTAATGAGACCCCGCGAGTGCTGGGTCTCACCCCTGCTTTCACCCCGGGTGCCGGATCTCACCTCTGGATCACACGCCTGCACAGGAGCACACACATGTACACATGCATGCACACACATGCATGTACAGGAGCACACACATGCAATACACCTGCACAGGAGCACACACCTGCACACACCTGCACAGGAGCACACACATGTACACATGCATGCACACACGTGCATGTACAGGAGCACACACATGCAATACACCTGCACAGGAGCACAACCTGCACACACACCTGCACAGGAGCACACGCATGTACACATGCATGCACACACGTGCATGTACAGGAGCACACACATGTACAAATGCATGCACACACATGCATGTACAGGAGCACACACATGCAATACACCTGCACAGGAGCACACACCTGCACACACACCTGCACAGGAGCACACGCATGTACACATGCATGCACATACGTGCATGTACAGGAGCACACACATGTACACATACATGCATGCACAGGAGCACACACATGTACACATGCATGCATACACGTGCATGTACAGGAGCACACACATGCGCACATACACACATGCACAGGAGCACACACATGTACACATGCATGCACACACATGCATCTACAGGAGCACACACATGCACATATACATGCATGCACCGGAGCATGCACATAGGAACTCACATGTACACATACATGCATGTACAGGAGCACACACATGCACAGGAATACTCACATGTACACATACATGCAAGCACTGGAGCATGCACACCCGTGCATGTACATACACGTGCACTGGAGCACACATGCACACACACACCTGCACTGGAGCACACACATGTACACACACATGCATGCACACACGTGCATGTACAGGAGCATGCACATGTACACACACGTGCATGTATAGGAGCACACACATGTACACACGTGCATGTATAGGAGCACACACATGCACACACACGTGCACGGGAGCACACATGCACAGGAACACTCACGTGTACACATACATGCATGTACAGGAGCACACATGAACATACATGTGCACTGGGGTACACATACATGCATGCACTGGAGCACACATACATGCGTGTACAGGAGCACACATGCACATGCACTGGGTCTCACACAATGGAGCACGCATGTGTACACATCACACAGGCATTGGGTCTCATGCACTGGAGCACACATGTACGACACATGTGTGCACTGGGTCTCATGTCCTGGGGTGTGCACACACACACACACACACACACACACCCGTGCACAGGCCTCACCCTTTCTGCCTCTTCAGGAAGCTCCCTGCAGCTCTGGGCCCTCTCTGCCTCCTGGATGTTCTCACAGCGCGTCAACCTGCTGCGACCCTCCCCCAGCACACGTGCCTCCTCCCCCTCCCCCAGCACACGTGCCTCCTCCCCCTCCCCCAGCACACGTGCCTCCTCCCTCCCACCCCAGCACACGTGCCTCCTCCCCCTCCCCCAGCACACGTGCCTCCTCCCCCTCCCCCAGCACACGTGCCTCCTCCCCCCTCCCCCAGCACACGTGCCTCCTCCCCCTCCCCCAGCACACGTGCCTCCTCCCCCTCCCCCAGCACACGTGCCTCCTCCCTCCTACCCCAGCACACGTGCCTCCTCCCCCTCCCCCAGCACACGTGCCTCCTCCCTCCCACCCCAGCACACGTGCCTCCTCCCCTCCCCCAGCACACGTGCCTCCTCCCCCCTCCCCCAGCACACGTGCCTCCTCCCCCTACCCCAGCACACGTGCCTCCTCCCCCCTACCCCAGCACACGTGCCTCCTCCCCCTCCCCCAGCACACGTGCCTCCTCCCCCCTACCCCAGCACACGTGCCTCCTCCCCCTCCCCCAGCACACGTGCCTCCTCCCCCTCCCCCAGCACACGTGCCTCCTCCCCCTCCCCCAGCACACGTGCCTCCTCCCCCCTCCCCCAGCACAGCCATGCCCACCTCCCCCCTCCCCCAGCACACGTGCCTCCTCCCCCCTCCCCCAGCACACGTGCCTCCTCCCTCCTCCCCCAGCACACGTGCCTCCTCCCTCCTACCCCAGCACACGTGCCTCCTCCCCCCTCCCCAGCACACGTGCCTCCTCCCCCCTCCCCCAGCACACGTGCCTCCTCCCCCCTACCCCAGCACACGTGCCTCCTCCCCCCTACCCCAGCACAGCCGTGCCCACCTCCCTCCTACCCCAGCACAGCCGTGCCCACCTCCCTCCTACCCCAGCACAGCCGTGCTCACCTCCCCTCCTACCCCAGCACACGTGCCTCCTCCCCCTCCCCCAGCACACGTGCCTCCTCCCCCCTCCCCCAGCACACGTGCCTCCTCCCTCCTACCCCAGCACAGCCGTGCCTCCTCCCCCCTACCCCAGCACAGCCGTGCCCACCTCCCCCCTCCCCCAGCACAGCCGTGCCCACCTCCCCCCTCCCCCAGCACAGCCGTGCCCACCTCCCTCCTACCCCAGCACACGTGCCTCCTCCCCCCTCCCCCAGCACACGTGCCTCCTCCCCCCTCCCCCAGCACAGCCGTGCCCACCTCCCTCCTACCCCAGCACAGCCGTGCCTCCTCCCTCCTACCCCAGCACACGTGCCTCCTCCCTCCTACCCCAGCGCAGCCGTGCCCACCTCCCCCTACCCCAGCACACGTGCCTCCTCCCTCCTACCCCAGCACACGTGCCTCCTCCCTCCTACCCCAGCACACGTGCCTCCTCCCTCCTACCCCAGCACACGTGCCTCCTCCCTCCTACCCCAGCGCAGCCGTGCCCACCTCCCCCCTACCCCAGCACACGTGCCTCCTCCCTCCTCCCCCAGCACACGTGCCTCCTCCCTCCTACCCCAGCACACGTGCCTCCTCCCCCCTCCCCCAGCACACGTGCCTCCTCCCCCCTCCCCCAGCACACGTGCCTCCTCCCCCCTACCCCAGCACACGTGCCTCCTCCCCCCTACCCCAGCACAGCCGTGCCCACCTCCCTCCTACCCCAGCACAGCCGTGCCCACCTCCCTCCTACCCCAGCACAGCCGTGCTCACCTCCCCTCCTACCCCAGCACACGTGCCTCCTCCCCCTCCCCCAGCACACGTGCCTCCTCCCCCCTCCCCCAGCACACGTGCCTCCTCCCTCCTACCCCAGCACAGCCGTGCCTCCTCCCCCCTACCCCAGCACAGCCGTGCCCACCTCCCCCCTCCCCCAGCACAGCCGTGCCCACCTCCCCCCTCCCCCAGCACAGCCGTGCCCACCTCCCTCCTACCCCAGCACACGTGCCTCCTCCCCCCTCCCCCAGCACACGTGCCTCCTCCCCCCTCCCCCAGCACAGCCGTGCCCACCTCCCTCCTACCCCAGCACAGCCGTGCCTCCTCCCTCCTACCCCAGCACACGTGCCTCCTCCCTCCTACCCCAGCGCAGCCGTGCCCACCTCCCCCCTACCCCAGCACACGTGCCTCCTCCCTCCTACCCCAGCACACGTGCCTCCTCCCTCCTACCCCAGCACACGTGCCTCCTCCCTCCTACCCCAGCACACGTGCCTCCTCCCTCCTACCCCAGCGCAGCCGTGCCCACCTCCCCCCTACCCCAGCACACGTGCCTCCTCCCTCCTACCCCAGCACACGTGCCTCCTCCCTCCTACCCCAGCACACGTGCCTCCTCCCTCCTACCCCAGCGCAGCCGTGCCCACCTCCCCCCTACCCCAGCACACGTGCCTCCTCCCTCCTACCCCAGCACACGTGCCTCCTCCCTCCTACCCCAGCACACGTGCCTCCTCCCCCCTCCCCCAGCACAGCCGTGCCCACCTCCCTCCTACCCCAGTACAGCCGTCCCACCTCCCTCCTACCCCAGCACACGTGCCTCCTCCCCCCTCCCCCAGCACAGCCGTGCCCACCTCCCTCCTACCCCAGCACAGCCGTGCCCTCCTCCCCCCTCCCCCAGCACAGCCGTGCCCACCTCCCCCCTACCCCAGCACAGCCGTCCCACCTTCCCCCTACCCCAGCACAGCCGTCCCACCTCCCTCCTACCCCAGCACAGCCGTGCCCACCTCCCCCCTACCCCAGCACAGCCGTGCCCACCTCCCCCTACCCCAGCGCAGCCGTGCCCACCTCCCCCCTACCCCAGCACAGCCCTGCCCACCTCCCTCCTACCCCAGCACAGCCGTGCCCACCTCCCCCCTACCCCAGCACAGCCGTGCCCACCTCCCCCCTACCCCAGCACAGCCGTGCCCACCTCCCCCCACCCCAGCACAGCCGTGCCCACCTCCCTCCTACCCCTACTGCAGCTGTGCCCACCTCCCCCCTACCCCAGCACAGCCGTGCCCACCTCCCTCCTACCCCAGCACAGCCATCCCACCTCCCTCCTCCCCCAGCACAGCCGTGCCCACCTTCCCCCTACCCCAGCACAGCCATCCCACCTCCCTCCTACCCCAGCACAGCCGTGCCCACCTCCCCCCTCCCCCAGCACAGCCGTGCCCACCTCCCCCTACCCCAGCACAGCCGTCCCACCTCCCCCCTACCCCAACACAGCCGTCCCACCTCCCCCCTACCCCAGCACAGCCGTGCCCACCTCCCCCCTACCCCAGCACAGCCGTGCCCACCTCCCCCCTACCCCAGCACAGCCGTGCCCTCCTCCCCCCTACCCCAGCACAGCCCTGCCCACCTCCCCCCTACCCCAGCACAGCCGTGCCCACCTCCCTCCTACCCCAGCACAGCCGTGCCCACCTCCCCCTACCCCAGCACAGCCCTGCCCACCTCCCCCCTACCCCAGCACGGCCGTGCCCACCTCCCCCCTACCCCTACTGCAGCTGTGCCCACCTCCCTCCTACCCCAGCACAGCCGTGCCCACCTCCCCCCTCCCCCAGCACAGCCGTGCCCACCTCCCCCCTACCCCAGCACAGCCGTCCCACCTCCCCCCTACCCCAGCACAGCCGTGCCCACCTCCCCCCTACCCCAGCACAGCCGTGCCCACCTCCCCCCTACCCCAGCACAGCCGTGCCCTCCTCCCTCCTACCCCAGCACAGCCCTGCCCACCTCCCCCCTACCCCAGCACAGCCGTGCCCACCTCCCTCCTACCCCAGCACAGCCCTGCCCACCTCCCCCCTCCCCCAGCACAGCCGTGCCCACCTCCCCCCTACCCCTACTGCAGCTGTGCCCACCACCCCTCGTGCCCAACCCCCTCCGTGCCCACCGCCCCTGGTGCCTCCTCCCCTCCTACCCCTACTGCAGCTGTGCCCACCGCCCCTGGTGCCTCCTCCCCTCCTACCCCTACTGCAGCTGTGCCCACCGCCCCTGGTTCCTCCTGGTCCTGCCTCGGTGAAGGCTGTGAAGGAGCTCCCGTCTCACCTGCTTCCTGCCTGTCCGGTTGTCACAGTGGTCACCCGTGTCCTCCCCCAACCCAGGTCCCATCTAGTCGATGGCTGTCCCGTCTCTCCCCTCAGCCTCCAGGACTCCATGCTGCTAGTGTCCCCCTCCCATCCCCTGCCCACCCCCAGAGTGGGGTGGGGTGTGGAGCATTGTCCATTGGTGGCAGCTCGGTCACACTGCCGCGATGTCCCCTGTGCTTGTATCTCTAGCTGGGCTCAGGGCACAGCTGCCCCTCGGGGGTGTCTGCCAGGTGTTTCCACCTCACCTGCCACCATCTCCTCCCATCCCTCCGTCTCCATCCCTGTTCCCAGGGTGCCAGACCCCACCCAGCCTGTCCTCGCCTCCTGGCGTCTCACTGTACACCTACCAGTGAGCCCAGGGGCGTGTCCTCACCCACCAGTGAGCCCCCGGGGCGTGTCCTCACCCACCAGTGAGCCCCCGGGGTGTGTCCTCACCCACCAGGAAGCCCTGGGGTGCATCCTCACCCACCAGGAAGCCCTGGGGTGCGTCCTCACCCACCAGGAAGCCCCGTGGTGTGTGCTCACCCACCAGTGAGCCCCGGGGCGTGTGCTCACCCACCAGTGAGCCCTGGGGTGGGTTCTCACCCACCAGTAAGCCCCGGGTGTGTCCTCACCCACCAGGAAACCCTGTGGGTGTGTCCTCACCTACCAGTGAGCCCCGTGGGTGTGTCCTCACCCACCAGTGAGCCCCGGGGTGCGCCCTCACCCACCAAGAAGCCCCGGGGTGCGTCCTCACCCACCAGGAAACCCTGTGGGTGTGTCCTCACCCACCAGGAAGCCCCGGGGTGTGTCCTCACCTACCAGGAAACCCCGTGGGCATGTCCTCACCTACCAGTGAGCCCTGGGGTGGGTCCTCACCCACCAGGAAGCCCCGGGGTGTGTCCTCACCCACCAGGAAGCCCCGGGGTGCGTCCTCACCCACCAGGAAGCCCCGGGGTGCGTC